CTTTGATGTATTTGTTTTTCTCAGAACCGAATAGCGCAACCGGACAATCTCGCATCCCATCCGGCTATTCGCTTTCTGATCCTGTCGAATTAATGATGCGGTAATATGGAGGTGTGACGAAAAATGTGGATGGTACACCGGAACCAAGAACATAGCCGGGTACAGTAGTAATTGTGATGAAACTGGAGGCGGTGCACGCCACTGAACACTACACTCCGGACGTACTCGTTTACCGGCAGTAGTGGAGAAGGCCGAGGGTGGGTGAAGACTGGATATCAGATCTGGGCCTGATCAGAAGCAGCGAAGTCTACGGAAAAGGATAAGTGATGCCAGGTGGCGTAATTGGCGACATGCTCGCTGAAGGAAGGCGAGACCGCTCTCCGGGGTCTTTGTCAACCCTCAATTCACAATAAATATGTCCCCTGGTTGCTCGTTCCACTATTACCCATCCTCGTTATCTTTCTCTTCACCGTTCTCTCCCTAATTTCGTTCGTTCACCCGTACGACCCGCCTCGCCTTTATATTTACTTTTCACTATTCATAGAGAATTTTTATTTCCCCACCACCTCTTTCCCACGACCAACACCGTCATCGAACCACTTCTCACCCTATTAAATTCAACAACTGCTAATCGCCTGATCCTCGGACTCTTGACGCCCACACCCACCACTTGCTTACAATGAGGGCCATAATTCGCCCCCTTTCAACTCATGCCGCCTCTTCGCCCATAGAAACTATTGTCTTCTTCTTCGTAGTTGCCACGCTTGCGTACTTCCAGGTCCTCTCCGCCATAAAGCATTCCTCTTTCTTTGCCCCGAGTACCCCCCTGCCCTTGCGCCCATCACACGCACTCCTGCGTGGCAACGAGTGGGTTACCGTTCCGGACACTGAGTGGTATGATGCCCTCGCCCACCGGTCCTCCTCTGCCATCGACCTTCAGCCATTGACCATGTCTTTCGATACCAAGACGGCAAAGAAGGTGCGCACAGCTTTTCCTTCTAACATTGCACCGACTAACTTCCTCATGCAGATTGCAGAGAATCCGGTACTCTCTTCGCAAGTCACTTACTCCTTGGAAAACGTGACGCACTTCCTCACGCACCAATTCCCTACGTCGTCTGGCAAATCGTATACGGATATTTGCTACTCGGTCCAGACCAGCCAAGATGGAGAAGAAGCTTGTTTCACCTCTACTTTTTCAAGCATCCCGAAAGCGGAATCTCTGACGCTATCATTTGCCGCGGGAGGTCGTGAGGACTTCGTCGGTGCTCTGGCAAAGCAAGGCTCTTTGATTTCGGAGGAGTTCGGCCCATTAAATATGTTATTGAGAACCCTGAGCAAGAAGCAATCGCAGCCATGAAGAGTGGCAAGTGGGTTGCGTATGCGGCACGCGCTTTAATAGTTCGCTTCTGGGACCTCACGAAGGTAAGCATCATGGGCTTAATTCATCTGTTGACTCGACTTTCCCACACTGTTTCTTCCAGAAAGCGGACAATCTGGACATCCTCCTCGTCCTCGCTGGCTATGTATTGATGCACACAACGTTCATCCGTCTTTTCCTCGCATCTCGTAGCCTTGGCTCCAACTTCTGGTTAACGACTGCGATCCTGTCATCGTCAACTCTGTCTTTCATGGTGGCATTGCCAATTGCTGGTTACCTTCGCATCCCTCTCGATCCCGTCAGCCTAATCGAGGCTCTTCCTTTCTTGGTCTGCACAGTCGGATTCGAGAAACCTCTTCGCCTTGCTCGCGCAGTTTTCGGTCATCCCCATCTCATGCAGCCTGCTATTCAGGAAGGACGCCTTCGTGGTCAGATGAAACCAGCTCAAGAACTTATTTTAGAGGCGCTCGATAAAGCGGGCAATATCATCGTTCGGGATTACGCTCTCGAAGTTGCCGTACTTCTCATCGGCGCATACAGCAAGGTCGGCGGGCTCAAGGAGTTCTGCGCCCTCGCTGCTTTACTCTTAACTGTGGACTGTGTCGCAACGACGACGTTCTACGTCGCTATTCTCAGCGTTATGATCGAGGTACGTTTCAAATTCTTCGCCCTCACGTGCCTTCGGGTTCTGGGTCTTGTCCTGTCTTAATTGTGATTGTGGTATTTACATTGTCTTATTGTCCTAGGTGCGCCGCATTAAGATGTTCCGCGTCTTGTCCTCGCGGAGGTCGTCTATGTCGGATGGCAAGCCTCCCGTAATTGTGAACGGTCAAATCCAGATGCCGAAACTCAGCTTCCGTCAGCGAACCTCTGCTGCATTGTTGGGCGTAAAGGGTTCTTTGCTCAGGTCTCAGTCCAAGGAGAAGGTTGGAAAGGAGGAGAACCCTGTCGCTCGCTTGAAATTATTGCTGGTGGGTACCTTTCTCTCTTCCCTTTAGAGCATCGAGATGACCACAATCATGTAGATTGTCTCATTCCTCTCGCTCCATTTGTTGAACCTGTGTGCCACGTTCACCCCCGGTGCGGCCGTGTCTCGCCTTCAGCAGGTACAAAGTTCTCGTCATGCTAAGGATGCCTTACATGGCTTCCGCACCGTCGACATCACCAGCCTCCCTGTCCAGCAGTCACTCTCTAGCCTCGCGTCCCTTCACAATGAAACTGAATTGGTAGTGCGCGTATCAGCACCGGTTCACGTTCGCATGGTACCCATTATCTCGCCACACCTTCATAAGGAGACCAAGGCCAAGGGACACGATGCGGATGATATGATCGATAGTTTCATGTCTTCATGGACTCGACTCGTCGGTGACCCAATCCTATCGAAATGGATTGTGCTACTCCTCGGTGTCAGTGTCGCCCTTAACGGTTATCTTCTCAAAGGCATTTCCACGGGGACCGGCTCTACTCGTGGAGTCCAACAGGCTCAAGGTGTCCGATTCAATGCCGTCGACCGAGGTCAAGAGAAGCAACTCGGCATCCCTCCCTCTCTCCATGCGCCTATCCCAATCTTCCCAGGGTCTCGTAAAGAAGGTGTTGTTGCTTATTCTACTGCACCTCCAGTCGTTCGACCGATCGCCGTGCCCGCGAGGGCGCCTTCCGTGAATGGGATTTCGTCGCTCTTGAATTCAGTCGATGAGAAACTCAAAGCACAGCGGCCCACGTTCACGCCAAGCGACGAATCAGATTCACAAGATGAAGAGTCTAATACAAAGGAGACCTCAAGTCATATACGTTCACTGGAAGAGTGTATCGACATCTTCGAGAACGGTCCTCGCCCGGTCTCGATGTCACTCTCGCTACTCAACGATGAAGAAGTTATTCTTTTGGCCCAGAATGGTAAAATTCAAGCATATGCTCTCGAGAAAGTTATCGGCGATTTAGAACGTGCAGTCCTGATTCGAAGGGCATTAGTCTGTATGTCCACTTAACAATTTGCTAGAAGCACCGTAGCTGACGAAGGGTTGCAGCTCGATCATCGAGAACCAAGACTCTCGAGCACTCCGCTATACCCATGTCGAACTATGATTATTCCCGCGTCATGGGAGCCTGTTGTGAGAATGTTGTCGGCTATATTCCTCTTCCCCTCGGTATTGCCGGTCCTCTCAATATCGATGGCCAGCTGTATCCAATCCCCATGGCGACGGCTGAGGGTACACTTGTGGCTTCGACGTCCCGTGGTTGCAAAGCCCTCAATGCCGGAGGAGGTGTCACTACTGTTGTCACAAACGATGGTATGACTCGTGGACCTGCTATCGATTTCCCATCTGTTGTTCTCGCCGCCGCTGCCAAAGCGTGGATCGACTCTGGAGAGGGCGGCGCGATACTCAAGGAAGCGTTCGAGAGTACGTCGCGCTTTGCAAAGCTGCAGAAGCTCAAGACGGCCATGGCTGGTCGGACGCTGTTTGTGCGGTTTGCGACGACCACTGGCGATGCCATGGGCATGAACATGATTTCGAAAGGCACAGAGAAAGCTCTAGACGCCATGAGCAAGTACTTCCCGGAGATGGTCGTCCTCGCTCTCTCCGGTAACTATTGTACCGATAAGAAGCCCGCCGCCATTAACTGGATCGAGGGACGTGGCAAGAGCGTAGTCGCAGAGGCAATCTTATCCGGGCACATTATCAAGTCAGTGCTGAAGACTACACCAGAGGCGTTGTGCAACCTTAATACGAAGAAAAACCTTGTCGGCAGTGCGATGGCCGGCTCCGTCGGTGGTTTCAACGCTCATGCGGCAAATATCTTGACTGCGATATTCCTTGCCACTGGACAAGACCCCGCACAGAATGTGGAATCCTCTAATTGCATGACGTTAATGGAATTGTGAGTTAGTTTTTCTGCCGCATCTGACTCCTCGCTGATTAGAGCGCTAGAACGAACGGGGGTCAAGATGTTCTTGTTACCATCACCATGCCTTGCATAGAAGTCGGCACAATTGGCGGTGGCACCGTCCTTGCCCCTCAGCAATCCGTATTGGAGCTACTAGGTGTAAAGGGCGCGCATCCGACTGTACCAGGTCAGAATGCACAACAGCTTGCTCGCATAATAGCTGCTGCCGTCATGGCTGGTGAGCTTTCCCTCCTTAGCGCCCTTGCTGCTGGCCACCTTGTTCGGGCGCACCTTGTCCACAATCGCTCGCAAATGAATACACCATCGGCCTCGCGACCGATTACACCCGGACCCGAAACGCCCCCGAATGTGCCTTGGATTCCAGCACCCAACTCGAAACAATTAACCAAAGTGACCACAGGGCCCTTGACAGCGTCTTCGTCTACAACGTCGCTGCCTGGTTACAATTTAGATCCAAGACCCTGAGGCGCTGGAGTCCGGCTGTTGTTCACCCCTTTCCATTACCCTCCCTATACTGTAGTCCTATGCGCTTAATTGGCTGGAAGTAGTTCATCTTCGCACACCTCGTACATTTGCTTTCATTTATCACGAATACGAACAATGTCCGACTAGTACAGCGGACTGAAATGTGCATATACAAAGTTTGTCTTTAAAGCCGCCGTGTGAGTGTGATCACTGGGTCAAGTTGCCCTAATTCTGTTGATTTCCAAGTGCCCGCCTAGCTCAATCGGATAGAGCGTCAGACTCTTATGGTGGGTGCATGGTCGCATCACGACCCGAATCTGAAGGCTGCGAGTTCGACCCTCGCGGTGGGCTAGTCCTTGACTTTTTTTCGATCTCTGTCCCATTCACTTCAAATCTACATTGCACCAATTTTTGAAGGAGCGGCGAGTCACAAGCACGCTTAGAATTGGCCACCACAGTGAGTAGCCTCGAGATTCAATTACAGTGCAAAATACAACACCCCATCTAGCGCATCATTCATTGTGCGGAGTAAACCTTTCGATCACTTCCACTCCCGCGACGCCAAGCCCGTCCCAATCCAAGACTAATACCTCCACTCATCGACCTCGCTTCAAATCGACCATTCGTCTTGTTGTGCTCCTGCACCGGTTTGCACAACGCAGTGAGCGTCGTCCATTGCAGTTCATAGCCCAGACCGCCTTTCTCCGCGATTTTCGAGCACGCGAATCGTCCCAAATCGGGTGTACCGTGGTAAGAGAGAACAATGGCGGCTGCAGATTGACAAGACCCGCACTGAGGGTTGGAACAAACTGACTGAGACGACGAAGGAAAGGGCTGGACGATATGATAATACCAGCAAACACCGCAGGAGGTGTAGTCCCTCTAATACGTGGGAGAGTAAAAGCATGGCCGTGGCGGACAGCCGAGGGAGAACGGTCTGTCCATTGGTAAGAGTGGTGAGGACGGTGTAAAGATCTCCGTAAGTGACGGGCGGGCCGGTATCTACTATGCCGAATACCTGGCCACCGAGGTCAGGATTGGATTGGGGGAGCCTCGGGCGTTGTCAATGAGACACTGTTCGTAGTAGAAATGTGCGAGCGAGACGTTCTCTACGTAAATGAAATTCTGGAGGATATCTTGGGCCCACGGGGGATTGACCTGCCGGGCAAGATACGCGCTGCACAGAATGTCGCCCCTGGTACCGTAAATCCCGATCCCCGGTCGCAGACACCCCGTACGAAGCTGCTGGCTATTCTTCTTCCGGATGGTAGTGAGTGCGGTCGGCCGCCCGGATCAGCTTTTCAGCCTTGAGCTTGGATGCTGCATAGTTGGAAAACATCTCTTCGTGACGCCGAGGCAGGTGACTGTCGTCGTCGTCGATGGTCTGTACCGACAACGGTGGCTGTTTCTCCCATGGCCAAAGCCACAGCCGCACGCGTCGGATAGACACGGAGCTACTCGAGGTGTAGATGAGGACGCTCATGCCTGCTGCTCGAGCGGCATCCCATGTACCGTGCTCGATAAAGTACCTTTGACATGATAATGATGAGTCAGGCCAACATAACGAGAAGAGGACGCGCACGTACAGAAGGGTGCTGAAGACGACGACTACCATGAGTACAAAAATCCGAGGGCAGGAGCGCGTCTCGCGAACGTCAGAAACGTGGGTATTTGACACTGGGCTCACGTGATCTCACTAAAAAGAAAATAAGAACACATAGCAGCCTGAGAAGGGTACTGTTATAGCAGAACGGGCAGAACGCAAGCGATACGTGCGCAAGTACGAGAAACGAACGAGCGTGGACTGGGAATATACGATGACGCATCTGATAAGATAAAACATGGAGGAGGATTCGAGGCGAAACACTGACGGTGTCCTTTTGTAGTGCGACCTCTATGTAAGTGAGGAAGGATAGCCAGAAGGTCCAAATTCCAAAGAACGTCGGTGTTGATAACGAAGTCAGGATCCAGAGTCACGCCGCCGTGTCTGAGGGATGAGCCTGACGCAGGTACTGACTCGACTAACCGACATCATTGACGGCACGTTCGGGGTATGAATGAGTCCTCAGTGGAGCTATCCCAGGTATCCAGGACGAGGCGGGATTACAGTATTGGAACTTTAATTTTCTCACGGCCCACGAGAGGCTCGGACTTTATTCGCACTCTCGTTCGTGCTAGCGCAGCCACTGGACTGCAGTCAATACAGTAGATCTTTCTTCTTCCTTCTCTGCGAGTCATGCGAACATGCTTATGCGACACGCAAAGTTATCCGCAAGCAAACAACTATCTTTTGGGCTCAAGCTTTCGGCGGACGAGGTCCACACCGATCCCTATCTCGAGCATATGTGCTATGTTACCTTCACTGACGACCACACTCGCCACACTCTGCTGGACCATCTACGCAGGAAGGACGAAGCTTTCGAAACCTACAAAACATGCGCGGTTTGGGCGAAAACCCAGTACAGAGTGTGCATGCACGGCATCAAGCGCCATTTAGGTCTGACTGCGGTGGAGAATACACCGGCGGTGACTTCGCAACTTTTCTGAAATCTCAAGGCACCACCGACCACAGCCCACGACACCCATCAACACAATAGATTCGCGGAGTCACGAAGTCACGAAGTCCGCCGACTTCTCGAGCGAATTCGCGCCGTGCTCCATCACTTTCAATTACCAAGTCTCTGTGGGGGGAGGCAATCTCTTTTTATTGTCTGGCCGAAGAAAAGGGTAATCACTCGGGCCCTCGGTAAAGTAACCCCATACGAATTACTCTCTATGTTGAACCTGACTCAGGGGGGCCGGAGTGGGGGCGGCCAGTGCGGGTCCATTTGTCGAATTTTGATGGGCATGCCGCAGAGGCGCGCTGGGTGGGACTTGATGGTGACGGCACTCATACTCACCACATTCATCGGCAGGACAAATACCGCGTTTCCGTCGAGCAGAACGTCAGGTTCACCTCAAAATACCGTTACCTCTAGCGCCCCCTTCCCTTCCCTTTCCCTTCCCTTCTCTTCTCTTCCAACACCACCGCCGCCCCCACGACGTCTCCGACACCATCGCAGCTGGCAGTCACACAAACTCAGCAAATAACATTTACTTCCCAATGCCGCCAGCCAGTAAAGCCACAAGCTCAAGTACAACAACACCCGTAGCTACCGACATCGGAGAAGAGGAAATGCCCGATGAGGACGAAGCTCAAGCCGAAGAGCAACTCAAGACTCGGAGCAGACAACCATCACCCTACCACCTGGTGCTCCAAAGAAACCAGCGCCGGCACCAATTCCACCGGCACCAGCAATTCAAACCACGCGCGAGTCCACGCGCGAGATCAAGCCCTCACAAAAGGCAAGAGACATTCAAGCTGCAAAGACAAGCAGTGCAACTTTAAAGATGAAGGGCAAATCACTCGGCGAAGACACCAACTATCAATGGCCGGACGAACGATGGTGTATTTAGAGGCATCCACCCCGACTCTAAGGGGAACCCGACCGCGGCGCTTCTAGCAGACGATGAGGACTTTATCTTTCATGTCGGCCATAATATGCTCATCGCCTCCGCCATCCAGATGCTGACAGTGATTCCAAGTCACTCGCCGAAGCACGCTCACGATCGGACTGGCCGCTTTGGAAGGACAAAGAGGCCTCTCAACCGCTCCTGCTCGACAGTCTCCTTGCTGCCTTTCCTTGCATACTACCTTTCCGGCTTTCCCAGCTAGATAATCTAGTTCACTAGGTGCATATAGAAATGAGAATATCCAAAAGACAGTTTATGAATATGTAAAGAATTTGAGAACAGAATAATGCAACTACTGGTTTGCCTCTTGAGAAATCATACAGTAGGCAAAGATACAGGAAAAACTTACATTACTGAGAAACATAACCTTTAATTGTCTCAACAATGCTCTGGAGAGCTGCCCAAGAAGCATCTGATGTAATATCCAGGTTCCAACATTCTGGGCGGGGAGATCGCAAAGAGTTTTTTGAAGCAACACCCTTTACAGGTTGACCACCCTCACCATTACTGCCACAAAGGGCATAACATGCCCTCCACCTTTTCCCAATTGCAGAAATAGCATACAATCGATCTGCATGCAGATTGTTTGGCCCAATATCATTAAGATGACAAAGGGGTCGAAAAGTAGCAGCACGACGCCCTGAATGTAACTGAAATTTTGATGGAGGCATGATATCAACAAGCAAGAATGGGTGCTGATGATGCTCAATAACAAAAGTAATTGAGCGATCATCAGCATTTTTACTGTTTGGAATAGTCCACTGGGGACAGACATCAAAGCCTTCAGATGGAGGGAACCAGTAGTTTAAAATCTTGTCATAAAGGGGGAAAAACTTTGATTCAATGGTCTCGTTTTCATTGTTCAACTCAGCAGCCTTAGTTAGAATGTACTGTGGGTAGCTGCCACCACAAAGACGAAGAACTATATGAAGTATCAAGGTCAATTGTAGGGGGTATGCTTTGTGTAATAGCATACCTAGATGAAGAGTTGACTCCTTTTCTATGTTGTAGTCTGAGAGTAGACAATCATCTTCTAACTGCTTTCCAGCAAAAATAAGACCTATCATACTGGATCAGTGTAATGAGACGTAGAAATGTGAACAGGGCAGACGTTGTTCGATGCTGCAATAATTCAAAGCAATTGATAAATTATCAACCGGGCAATCTCTGAAACTCACTTTTCCCTATCCTGAACCTTAGCTTTAACACAGAGAATTGTGTCAGAAGACTCTGCCTCAACAGTAAGTGTCTTCCCGGTCAATGTCTTCACAAAGATTTGCATGGTGAAAGTGAGAGAAAGGCTGAACGCTATTATATAATGGGCAGAAGCCCCTTTTCAAGCTTTTCAAGCTAAGCTACTGAGGCGGCGTAGGCGTAGGCGTCGCTCCATCTCCCCTACCCCTAGGAGTCAAGGTTCGCCAAGCCACCAGCGCGAGATTGCATCACCGACTTAGCCGACACAATGATGCGGCAGTTCGAGGGCATCCTTACTACCCCGACCCGAGAATCGATGGCTCGGACCATGCAGCCTTCTTTTTCTCGGTCACAGCAGAACCACCCAACCGTCGCTGACGCTGATCTAGGCTACATAACCGACCCAGCCAGAAGGGACGGCTGGGCCAGAAAACACCCGCCCCCGCTCCCCCAAGCGGCTGGTCGTCTTGGGAGGTGGAAGTCGGTGTTCTTCTCCGCAGACTAACAATAGCTCCCGGTCCCTTCGGACAAGGGTGGCGCTTGATCAAATGGACATAGAGCGACCTCCCAGGTCAGTCGAGCCTTCTGGTGCGGCTGTTCAACGTTCAACGTTCACTTGAAGGCTCTGCCTCAAGAGCGAGAGT